CCACCTTGATTTCATCAATCAGCGAAACACATGACATTTGCACTGGTTATACTTGACATGAAAAAACTCGGATCAAAGCTAGGTGGAAGAAACCAAGGGTGTTTTAATCATGGTGGATAACGTCATAAGCCGACTGTTCCAAAGCACGATATCTCGGTTCATATTGAACGGAGAAAGTTGTTGATTACACTAATCTTATTAGTTCTAGCTAATATGCAAGAATTAAGCATCAAAAACACGATTCTGTGACCAGTGCAACTGACCCATTTTTCGGAGAGGGGACCGGGGGCAGCATTTACTCCTCCCCTCCCCCATTTCCTCCCTCTTTCTCCCTAGTAGCAGTCAATTTAAAGCAGTCCGCCAGAGTTAATTTGACCCGGAATGAATAGAGCAGAGTAAACCCAGTATTTTGCCAGAGTTAATTTGATCTAGAATTAATAGAGGAGGTCATATCTAGGAGAATAGTTCTCTCATTTTGCATGACCTCGCGCCAAAGTCTTTCTTTTTACTTTTTTTAGGGCACGGTACATTCGCGTGAGAATCCAAAAAATTGCTTTAAAATTTAATTTACTAGCTCGACCCCCGGCGCACGACAGGAACTTCACCGGCTGTAGTTTGCCTCGCTAAAGTCAACATCCCTCTCAATCATTAAACAAGACGTAATGTAACACTACGCCCTGGGAACATAGGTGCCTGGTTGGATCAAATAAACGCAATTTTTGGCCCGACACTAATAATACGTCAGTTTTGCTGGTCACGAAATCAAGTTTTGATGCTAGATTCTTGTAGATTAGCTAAAAATAATAAGACCCATCCAAACAGCAACTTTCTACGGTCAATCGCGCTTTGAAACATCCGGTTTATGACGTCATCCACCGCGGTAGTGACACACTTGGTTCTTTCCACCTTGCCCTCATCCGAGTTTCACGTTGAGTAACCAGTGATATTGTGAATTACATTTTGCAATAAGGAACCAATATTTCTGGCACTTCCATGAAAGCGCCTTCCTGCAAGGGAATCCAATGACATGTACGTTGTTTCTAAAATGAGCCAGAAATAGTGGTTCCATATTGCAAAATGTGGTCCATGTGTGTCCCCCGACAAATGAAACCAAGATGGTAGAAACCAAGGGTGTCACTTCCGCGGTGGATGACGTCATAAACCGAATAAGCGCGATATCTTTGTTAATAATCAACATAGAAAGTTGCTCTTTGGATGGATCTTGTTAATTTTAGTTTATCTACAGGAATCAAGCATCAAAACGCGATTCTGCGACCAGCTCGACTGACCCATTGCTTTGGACGTCTGCACGTTTTTAACCTCAAGAATCGGTCCGTCGCACATTTTTGAAATAGCTCTTTCCCAGAAGATAGTAGACAGTTATTACTGTCATTTCATATAAATGGTAATACCGGAGTAATAATTATTTATCTTGATCTCAAAAGATCTTTAAAGATCAAATTTTAGGTCATCGAGCGGAACCAAGGCCTTAATTTTGTAACTAATCAAAATTTTACTTTCAGGACGAGATCAATGTGTCTACGGATATGAAATACCCGGAAAATCGAGAATTTTCAAGGAATTTATTTAGGTCGGGGAAATCAAAGAACTCTACAAAGAGACTGGAAATTTGTAAAATCTTGAAACTTGAAGCAGAAAAAAAATTAACGTTGCGTTGTCCATGCAATCAAAGTGAGTCTCAGCCTGATTCGGGGTGAAACACACTCTGAGTACATCGGGATGGCGTGCTTTGCGATGTATCGACTAGTATGCCATTCAAACCTATAAAAACAGATCGAGTATCAGGGAATTCTCAACGAACACCATAATAATCGATTTTATATCCCAGCTTCAAATGCGATAATATTGATAGTCGATTATCACGCCTCACCACTGTCTTAGTAATGAACGTCGGAATGCTTTCAGTAAAGAATTCCAATAATTTTAGTTCATTAAATTATTAGCACCTGAGAAAGAAGAGCACATGTTTCTGTCATTTATAGTGAAATTAATGCCACATTGTTTTCCATTCTACGCCGGTAAATTTTTGATGAAATATTTCTGGTGAATTCAGAGAAAATTTGGAAGATTCAGGGCAAATCTGGAAAATTTAGGGCTTGCTTTTCGCCGAGTCTGTGGGCACCCTGTTAGAATCAAAATTTAGATGGAAGCCTGAAAAATACGTGTCTCCTTGCCCTTCAAGTTCTTGCCAAAAATTAAACGGCACAAATTTTGCAACAGCTCCATTCGGCTCGAAGTTGGAACAAAGAGAGAAGAGAACGAGCGGGTAAAAATGTGGACCAGTCCCTGAGTCTCTCTTATCGCGAGTACGAAACGGAGAAAACGGACCGTTTGCCATTTTAATGAGTGCGAAACTGGAACAGTTATGCTCAGCCTGGCATGAGAGTTCTTTTTTGAAGGTGCGAACCGCTCGCCGGATCAGAATTTTACCCCCTCCCCTTCCTCCCTCCACCACAAGGCTCCCGTGCTACGGAGTGGTGAATTTATTCAACTCGCATAGAGATTAAATTTGCTTTTTCAATTTTTTAAGAGCCGGCGCGCCCAAGAATACCTCTTTTTTCCGCCTTCAATCTCCTTTTTCCGGCGACACGAATCAATTTTCCTAGGCGAACGCTCGGTGAAAAGATTATCATCGGGGGTTTTCTGTATATTTTTTAATTGTCTATTTATTTAAAATAATTCCAGTCTTGCCCGACTGTTCAAGTGGCTTCCAAAAATGCCGATTTTGCTCTGAGAAGTAAACTACTCGGTAGTTGTTACCGTGAAGTTTCCACCCCTAAATTTGAAAACCTCATTGTATCGAGTGAACTTGAAAGCACTGATTGTGAATTAAACATCAGTTGGACGTATTTATGCTAAAAGGAACTGTGTGCATAAGTTATGTGGGCAACATAGTTCCTTTTGGCATAAATACGTCCAATTCACGGCGGACTGAGAAGTGAGAACCCAAAGCAAGTAGAATCGGAGTTAACGCTCATTGCTATTTCGCCTTCCATTTTTGAGGTAGGCCAGAACACCTACTCCATGCAGCACTAGTTACTTACGCGAGGATTTAACGTAGTTCGCTGTGCGCAGTTCTTGCCTCACCGTAAATTATCTGAAAATCAATTACTTAACTTCATCTATCGGTTGCGTGGCGTGTTTTGCAACGAATCGATTAATCTGTCTTTTAATCTGTGAAAAGGATCAATTGAGGGGATTGAAGACACAAGGCACATAAGGGCAGTTTTTGAAAAAAATTTAGATTCCATAAACTCAACTAAAACTAGTTTGAAAGTATTCCGTGAAAAATTCACTACTAAAATCCAACTTTAAAGCATCAACAGGCGAGTTTAAACTTCCTTTCCGCCGTATGGATCCATGTTATTTTGAAATTTTAAATACGTTTTTCTTGAAATAGCAAGAACTGCACTTATGCGCCTCGTTCTCCAAGCCCCTTAGTTATCAGATCAATCGCAACAAATACTTTAATGATCCATTCTTTACATAGGCTTCAAATGGTAAAATATCGGTAGCCAATAATTCACGCTTCGCACCTGTCACTTGCCGAGTCAATTCAGTCAATGTCAACCATCGTCAATCTATCAAACCATTCAAATAACCGTTTTTCAGCGTACATACAGTGAATCGTGTGAAAATAATGAGTCTTTTCCGAATTACTCAATGCAAACGAAGTTTCTCATGAGGATTTGCAGAAAGCGTCTCTTCCCTGAGTTTTAATTCTGAAAAATATCGGATTTTTCCACCCACCCTTAGCGAGATTTTAGCAGAATTTCCTTGCACAGTTTTGAGGGGATGCTCTGAACTTCCTCTTCTCGTATGTACGTATTATTTGCAGACTCGTAGTGGTAATTAGCGTGTCTCAGGTTTGTTGACTCTTTGGATGGTCTGTGATCTTTGCGTAACTAACTTAGGAGTTAGCTGCCTGCTCAAGCAAGCCGTCCATATTCCCTTATCTAAATTATTTATTTTGTGTTCAGGGGCACTTGAACATTCATCCTCTGCAGCCAATTTTTTCTTCGTTTTCTTCTTCTTCTTCTTCTTCCGCGCCCTCATTAAGTGTAAGTAGTTGTATGCAGGGCTGTAGAGTGAAATTCTATGGTAAACGAGTTCATTTTTTATTCTCTCAAGAGATCTTTTCTTGCCACCTGCCTCCTCCCTTGCCGTTTCCTTCAACTTACAGTTAGTTTTCTCCGAGACCACTATTGTGAACTTTTGACTTTGATAAATAATTATTACGTGCCTGTATCTCCTCTGATTAGGGAACCAAAGCTCTTGTTAGCTAACAGAAATGAGTCGGTTGCACTAGTAGCACAGTCGTTGTCTTCTAGCTATACTCGAGAACTGGAGTCCAACGCATTATTACGATATATCTACATAGTTTTACGGCTAATTATGTGCTATTTTCAAGAAAAATCCTTTTAAATGTGCTGAGGTTAGCAGCAAGTGCGGTTGGTGATAACCGTCAAAGTTGACAACGACCTCTCTCTTATCCTCAAAAACCAAAACAAAACGCCGCCGTTTTTTGGCCAAAAGCCCTTCATTGGGCCCAGCGTCTATACTCTCCCTATGAAAGCACTCTAGTAGTATGGGCATCATCTCCACCCCAAGTATTTTCTATAAATGAAAGAGAACACGGATCATTGAGTTTTAGGTGGCCCTCGTCGTTCATCGACAATCTTGGAGTAAACTCCCGGATGATCCGGGAAGTGAGGACAGCGAGGCAATTTCCGAGGATTGTCGCCGAATTCAATAAGAGTTCGCCAGCACTCTAATCCGGTTTCCGCGGGCACTTTAAAGTTCCGAGTTTTTTTACATCTGATTTTCGTTTCCGGATCGCCTCCGCTCCGGGCTCTTTTTTGACTCCCCCGGATTGAAGTCGACAGACGTTGCATACAGTCAAGTTCTATTTAATTAACTGCTTGTCGTTTCTCTCCTCTTTCCTCTCTTTGTCAGTTCCTTCTTTTTCTTTTTTTCAGTTCCGCGGAGTGTGAGGACGATCGGCAACGGCCCACTCCGACATGCCTGTCACGTTCTTGTAAGTAAGCTCCGTCTTACATTCTCAGCCCCCCCCCCCCCCCCCCCCCCNCTCCCGCCATTCCGAGCCGCTCACTGGGGTGTTCAGCCTCAAATGCCGGGCAAAATTATTCAACAGCTGAAATGGGACACCAGACAAGAGCCTGTGTCACATGATAGCCTGTGTCACACAATAGCCTGTGTCACACAATGGCCTGTGTCACACAATAGCCTGTGTCACACCATCAAAATGTCAAGGTCGAGTGCTGTGATTGGCCCGAGTCATCGAATTCGAAAGTCATCGAGCCAATCACAACACCTGCCCTTGATATTTTGATGGCTAGCTTTGATAGTGTGACACAGGCATGTCAAAGCTAACCATCAAAATATCAAAATCAGATGTTGTGATTGGCTTATTCGATGATTTGGACCGATCACAGCACTTGACTTTGACATTTTGACGGAGTATTTTGATAGTACGACACAGGCTAAGGTCTGAGTAAGAAATTAACGTCATATGTTTTCCCTTAAAAGTTTTAGTCGTAGAGAACGATTCCCACAGTTCGGAAAACAACTGTTGGCTCAAGCATGATGATTCTTGAATTTGCCGCCAAGAATTTTTTTCATTTTGATTAAAGCTGAGTTTTTCTCGATACAAGAAAAAAAATATTGAGTCAAGCAAAAATGTAGTTTATGTTAAGCAGCGAATTCTTTAATCATGAAAAAATACTTATTGGCTGCAAATTTAAGATTTTTTCAGTAACAACTTCTGGACGAGACATTTATTCATTATTTTATTATTTATTTTCAAGAATTTTTAACACAGACCTATAATGGAAGAGAAATTATGAAAACTACGTCACTGATAGTTTTTTTCCTTCTTTTTTTGTTTTTTACAAGTTTGATAGAAATACATCCAATTGTAAACACTATTCTCTCTCTCTCCCTCTATCTGCCCTCTTCTCTCTTCTGTGTGCGCACTCTTAAAAAATGAACGACGCCTGCGGCAGGTGAAAAATTGTTCATCGTGTCTCGGTTAGGTCACGCAACTAAACTAACTCCGTGGTAGTCCGTGAAGTATCATCAAGCGATGAAGGCGCGTAGAGCCGTTGCCGCGCTGATCATGAATGGGAATCTTACGTACTTTACATTACATGACTGCTAATTATAGTGAATCGTCGAGTTTTCAATTACCGCTTTTGGACATTATTTCTCGAAAGGGAACAAAGCGACATCAAGGGTTGCCAAAATTCTCTCGACAACGTATTCACATAAATACAAGAGAGTGGTTGTAACGATTCGTTCAAAAGTTTCGAGAAAATATATCATGCAACAAATGTGACGTGGAGCGAATTTCCTGAAATTGTCCAACAAATCGGCTTACTCATTGTTTTGTCTAACAAAAAATCAATCGTTCGATAAAATTTGGCAACGTATAATTGCTCGTATGGTGTTTTCCTTAATACGGCAGTGTAGTTTGCACTTTTTTTCAGGGTTTCGCGCGCTCCGAGACTTTCATGGTGTTCGCGGGGCAAATTTTGTTACCGGGGTGACAAAATTTTATGGTCTCAGATTTTGTCACTTCGGAAGGACGTGGATGTTTGCTCTTTCATCTATCTGTCTTCTTCTTTCTTCTATTTTCATCTATATGTCTTCCTCTTTCTTCTATTTCATCTCTTGGGACCTATTCAACAAAAGAGCACTTCTAAGCTTGCAAAAAAACTGCATAATCCTATTGCATCCAGAATCCGAGATGGCGCTTCTGTTCCTAAGCGGTGATTCTAAGTATGACCAGCAGGCTGATTATGGAAATTGATAGACAAAGCGATAGACAAAGAAGACTAAGGGAGAAGGGAGCGATCCTATCTTCGCACCATTTTCATACTGTCTTTTACGCCTTTGTATTTTTATTTCTCTTCCTAACCATTTTTTTCTTTGTTTCTTTCTTTTTTTTATCTGATCAAAGTGATTCGATGTTTTCCGTTACGCGTAGAGTGAAATTTTTTGAAAACGCGTAAGGTCTGAAAATAAGATGTAATATAATTGGATTGCATTTTGCAAAAAGGAACCACTAGCATTGCAATGTTGCTAAGATTGTGCAACTTCTTTTGTCTTGGAGGAAAAACCCGATTATCCATCAATAGTTTCTATTTTACTCGCCATAAACTGTAAATTTAAGACAAAAATTACCATCTAAATCTCATAGTTTTTCACGATTTCCGCAATTTTATCGCAAAAGATGAAGTTGCACAATCTTAGCATCATTGCAATGCTAGTGGTTCCTTTTTGCAAAATGCAATCCAATTATACCTCTATCACGCCAAAAAAAGAAGAAAAAATATAGGAACAACCCCGCTTCGACCAATGAGATGGCTCCATTTTTCTTCTGTCTTTTACGTCTACCAATTCCAATATTCAGCCCTCGGAGCTTGTGAACTTTGGCTGTATTTTGAGGGGGAGCAGCGGGGTGTGCGGCGGCCCCGGTCGCGTTCGGAGAGAGCCCCGTCTGCCGGCTTTTTCCAGCCTCTCAAGTCCTCCGGGCTCCCTTTTTTTCTCGCAATTGCAGTCGCGCTTTCCCGCGCTCCACTGTTTTTCCTGCCGGAGGAATTCCGACACACTGCAGTTTGCGCCTTAAATAATTTACAATTTATCGGAAGTCTTGCAGTAAGCGGCAGGAAATAAACCCCACCCCCCCACCTCGCCCCCTTTCAGCAAGGCGTCTTTCCCAGCGTCACTTCGGCGGAATCAATTTAAAATGGAACCGCTCGCTGCGGTGTCATTCTGTAGCCCGATTGCAGGAAATTATAATCGCAGAGTCCTGAGCAGCCTCCTCCTTTTTTTCTTAATTTTTGTCCGCGCCTTTTTATCCTCGGTTAATTAAACTACGTCAAAATGACCACATTTGAGGGGCTGTGAGGACAAGGCGCCTAAGTGCAGTTTTTTAAAAAATTGAGATAATTATGATCACAAGTGGACGTATTTCTGTCAAACAGAACTAAGCGCCATTTTGAGTTCCTTCTGAGGAATATAGAATCCCGGATAGCGCATTCTGTCAAACGGAACTAAGCGCCATGGAAAAGCATTGCGAGTATAGGACGGAATGAGCCCGACGCACGGTTCAGCCGCCAATCAAAGCCCCCCTCTACCTTCCTCCCCCTATGGCGCTTAGTTCCGTTTGATATAGAAATACGACCAAGTAAAGCTAGTCCTTAATGCAAATTCTGTGAAGAATTCGCTTCCAAATTCCATTTTTAAAGCATCAAAAAGTAGGTTTGACCTTTCTTTCCGCCAAAATGATCCATGTAGGTAATTTCGAAACTGTAAACACGTATTTCTTGAGATAGCAAAAACTGCACTTATGCGTCTTGTCCTCCAAACCCCACTCGTAGCCGTGACTCGTAGCGCTTGGCAAGGGACGGGCCGCTTTGCAGCCAGGGAAGACCCCCCTATTATCTCATATTTCATAAAACCATACCTCGAATTTCGGCACGTCACACGCCATCATGCGCTGGGAAGAATAAATTCTACGGGGGCCAGAACAACAACTCCGGCTTTTGTTCGGAAGTTGATTCATCTCCCGAGAAGCCGAAAATTTCCACGCGCCTCAGAATTCACGGGGAGGGCGCAGTGATAAAAGAGTGACTTCCTCTCTCGTTGTAATTATAAACAGAATGATAAATGACAGTGGCGTCGTGTGCCTCGCGATGTATCGATTAATCCACCATTTAAAACCATACAAAAAGATCGATAAACAGGGTGTTCCTTAATAATCGATCCTTTACCATAGTTTCAGATGGGGAAATCTCGATAATCGATGATTCACGCCTCGCCCTGAATGATAAATGATCCGGTCGCGAATCGCAGCCGAGCTTATTCCGGTTGTCTCGATAGCGCCCCCTCCCTCCCGCACCCCACCCAGGCCTCGTTTGATTTCTGATATTTTCGCCCCCTCCCCTCGCCCCTCGCTCCCTTATCTAACGTTGTTTGTTAGCGTCTCAAGTTTTCCCCCCGATAAAATTGAAATAATTATCAGGTCGCTCCTCAACAAGTTGATGTTTATCGTGCTTTAATTTTCCCCCGCGCCGCCCCGCTCCGTCGCAGTTCCGCCGCGCTTTCGCCCCCGCCCCACCCTCGCGCACCGCAAAAACCCGCTCCGAAAGTGATTAATTTTGATTCCTCTTTAACCTCCCCGTCCTCCGAACTCGCGGTTACCGATTTTGTGGAGTGGCGTTTCCGCTATCGATCCTGATCTCGAGCACGGAATCCGCCCTGATTAGCGGGCGATTCGTAATCGTTATCGCATTACTCTGATCGATAAATCCCTATCTTAGCAATGATATTTATCGATTAGAGCATTCGATAATGATGTGACAACCCAGGCGCAGGTCGTGTAGGACGCGGAGCTCCTATGGTAAAGTTTCATAATCAAGGAACACAGGCTATTCCAGGGTATCTACATATAGCGACTGGGGAAACCGGGAAATATCAGAGTACTTTTTTGGGTGTCAGGGAAATCAGGGAAAACGTCGGGGAATCTGCAAAAATTCGGCAAAATGTCAGGCAATTTTATTTTGCAAGCGATTTTCGTGTCAGGGAAACGCGGGAAACGTCACGGAAATCGAAAAACAAGAATTTTTTTGAAAGTGTTTCGCAAAATTTTCCTCTTGCGGAAATTTCTACCAGAGTTTCTGCTGATGTCTTTTAAATTTTATAAATGATGCAAAAATACATATCTCGCATAAGTTTAGGCGCCATATATTTTGCTCTATTTTTTACATTATATTCCTAAAACATGAAAAAATTCTTACTTACATCTTATCAGTTCAAACGTATCCCTAGACCCCATCATCAGAGTCCATCATCCAACCGATAAAATCACTACATTTTCCCCTTGTCTTGGTAACAAACCCGTGTATCGGTGGTGAGATGACGCACCTGAGCATCTTGCTTTGCAAGATACTCAACTGCAAGGACAAATCAAGTCCATCATCCCCCCCCCTCTTCAGGTCTATAACAACCGCC